GATCGGGCCGGCAGCCACAGCTCGCACCCGCTAACAGCGCTGAGCGATCAGGGTCAGTGCTGGGTGCCGGCAGCAAATGCGAGTGGGACTGGCACCAGCAGCAGGTGTGAGTGCCGGGGGGGACCGCGGTGCATGGGAGCAAAGAATTTTCAGTAACCACCAGAGGCTCGTCCCGATGACAGCGACCGGTGGGTGCCCTGCCTTGGCCTGGTGCCCCAGCTCACCAGCTTTCTGTGCGCGCCCCCTGGTGGTCAGTGCACATCATACAACAGGTTGTTCGTTTGTTCGGTCGTTCTGCTGTTCGGTCTCTTTGCATATTAGGGTTTTATATAGAGAGATGATTTCCTCAATAACATTTTCTTCTCCTTAGCTTGCTTTATTGTAAGAATACAGTATATAATACATATAACATGCAAAATATGTGTTAATCAACTGTTCATGGTATCAGTAAGGTTTCCTGCCAACAGTTCGCTGTTAGTAGTTAAGCTTTTGGGGGGACAGAAGCTATACCTGGATTTTCGATGTTGTGTGGGTCGGTGCCCCCGTGCAGGGGCCCATGTATTCCACCCCGTCTTGCTCCACCTTGCCACACTCTTCTCTGGAAGCGGATACAGTGGGATGCACCCTCTCCATCTAGTTCCTTTTAAAAATTATTTTAAAAATAAATTTCTTTTTTCTGTTTAATGTGTTGTTATTGATTTTAGAGAGAGGGGACGGGAGAGGGAAAGAGAGAGAGAGAGAGAGAGAGAGAGAGAGACCAATGTGAGAGAGAAACATCATTTGGTTACCTCCCGTACATGCCCCGACCAGGGACTGAACACATAACCTGGGCACGTGCCCTGACTGGGAATCAAACCAGAGACCTTTCGGGGTACAACCAACTGAGCCACCCGGCCATGGTGGAGGTGCGTGTTTTTGCCGAGGACAGTGGTGGGATGGGCCTTTGGTCTCTGGGGGGAAAGGGGTGCAGGAGATCACAGCCCCACCCCATTTACAGCTTCTGGGGATCACAGGGAAGCACCCCCGTGGCTTCCAATGATAAGAATGAATTATGAGTGCCTGCGCCCATCTGGGCAGGGCAGGGCTCTCTCTCCATAAGAAAGGTCAAAGCTGGGCTCTAACAAGAGACTGACAGCTTCCCAGGCCACCGGCTCCCAGGCAAGCTGTTGATAGTTTCTTCTTGGTGGAATCAGTTCTCCAGACGTCTGTCAGGAACCTTCTCAGGTGAGAGAGCCTCAGGGTCTGCAGGTCCAGGCCACCAGCCTTCTCTGCAGAAGGAATGAGATTTTGGCAGAGGTTCCCCTAATCTCCACGCTCCTCTCTTTCTCGTTCATGCACACCTTGATTTTTAAATGGATGCATTGGAGCCCAGCAAATGTTACATTCTCTATGTGCCCCTGGGCTGCGTGTGGCCGTGTGACATTTTGGCCTATGGATACAAATTAGAAGTGTTGCATGGGACATCCAGGGATTGGCCTTAGAGTTTTTCTAAGCCCTTCTTCCTTTTCACTACTGACTGGGTGGAATATGGATCTGATGGCTGGAGCGTCAGCAGCCACCTTGGGTCACAAGTTATGGACAGATGACAGAGCAATAATATGAAAGGAGGCAGGGTCCCCACGATTATGAAGGTGCCACAGTAGCCCTGACACGCTAACTCCAGACTCCGTTTATGTAAAAGCAAATTAAACTTCCTGCCTGGCTGGCGTGGCTCAGTGGTTGAGCGTTGACCTATGAACCAGGAGGTCATGGTTTGATTCCCGGCCAGGGCGCATGTCTGGGTTGCAGGCTCGATCCTCAGTGTGAGGTGTGCATGAGGCAGCCAAGCAATGATTCTCTCTCATCATTGATGTTTCTGTCTCCCTCTCCCTTTCTCTCTGAAATCAATCTATATTTAAAAAACAACAACGAACTTCCATCTTGTTTAGGCCATTTGACTTTGGGTCTTTCCGTTACCTGCCGCTGAAACCAATCTTAACACAATGCTCTCTCAGGAGGAAGACACGCAGGATGCATGCGGTCAAGGCAAGTGTATCTCTTAAGGTTCTTTTAAAAAATATATATATTTTTATTGATTTCAGAGAGGAAGGGAGAGGGAGAGAGAGACAGAAACATCAATGATGAGAGAGAATCATTGATTGGCTGCCTCCTGAACACCCCAAACTGGGCATTGAGCCCGCAACCTGGGCATGTGCCCTTGACTGGAATCGAACCTGGGACCCTTCAGTCAGCAGGCTGACGCTCTATCCACTGAGCCAAACCAGCTAGGGCTCTCTCCAGGTTTTTTCTTGAAACTGGCCAGTGGTAGGAGTATCACACCCCAAAAATGGACAAGCAGCACAAATCAGGGCTTTTATTTCTGCCCCCAGAGAACTGGCTTGGCAGCACACTGCTGCCCCCTGCTCCGTGCGTCCCTGTTGTCCTCTCTCATCCCCACCTCCCTCCTGAGACCCAGAACAATCCATTCCACTGTCTCCTGCACGTTCCCATGTGCACCCCCGCAGGCCCTCCAACCCCCGCTTGGGCACTCAACTGTGCCCCCTCCACTCTGCCCTGCCCCCAGCAGCTCTGTGGTGACCCCTGCCTCTGCCATTCACCCTGTCACCTTCAGCCCTCCCCACACCACCATCGTCCCCAACTCCTCTCCGTCTCTCACACCCCCATCCAATCTGTCAGCACATCCGGAATGTCTCCAAATTGTCCATGGCTTTCCCTGCCTCATCCCCGCCCCCCTTCCAGGCAGCCACAGGTCAGCCTTCTCTCACTATAGGTAGGTTAGCTTGCACGTTGTCATCTTTTGTAGGAACGGGCTCACACTGCAGGCACTCTGCTTTTGTCTGGCTTCTTTTCCTCGGCAGAATTCTTTTGAGATTGAGCCATGTGGGTACCTCATCAATAGCCATTCCCTCCCATCGCTGCGTAGTAGTCCCTTGCGTGGATGTCCCGCAATTTGTTCATCCAGTGAAGCATGGTAATAATCCCTCCTTAGGAAAACTGCTGTTTGAACTACTCTGCTATTCTTAGACAGTCTCTTATTCTGTAGGTCAACTCTGTTGTTTTAAAACTGTAAAATAACTTGGTTTTTTAACTTGAATAGAAAAGATAAACTTAATTGTCTGGCCTTGCAAGCTAGCCATCTAAAGGGGCTGATACACTGATACTGATATTAATTCACATAGTTTGCCAAGTGTTTGCAAGCTAGCCATCTAAAGGGGCTGATTAGGTATAATATGTACTCAAAGTTACAAGTTGTCTGTATAGCTATGACAGGTGTTTGATTAGATACGATATGTACTCAAGGTTACAAGCTGTCTTACAAACTCTGTTTTTTACTTGAATAGAAAAGATAAACTTAATTGTCTGGCCTTGCAAGCTAGCCATCTAAAGGGGCTGATACACTGATACTAATATCAATTCACATAGTTTGCCAAGTGTTTGTTCACCCAAGGTTACAGATGTTTGATTAGGTATAATATGTACTCAAAGTTACAAGTTGTCTGTATAGCTATGACAGGTGTTTGATTAGATACGATATGTACTCAAGGTTACAAGCTGTCTTACATAAAGAAGGATATAAAAAGGAAATACTCCCTCCTGTGTTTGTTCAGAATTTGACAGAGGTAATCTGCTCCGAACCTGAGCGCAATAAAGATGACTCCTAACTAATTGGCTCATTAGGCGTCTTGTCCAGCTCGCTGATTTGCGATACAACGCCAGTCCCCGGACTGTTCCAGTTCTGAGAAACTGGGACCACCTGGTTCGAGCACTGTCACCTGTGGTCTGGATGGTGGCAGCCACCTCCCCCTGGTCTCCTGCTCCTGCCCTCTTTCCCCCGGTCTTTCCTCGATATGTATCCAGAGGGATTCTAGTATGACAGCAGGGCTGAATCTGGGAATGGCTGATGGCATTTCCCCAAACTTGAATAGGATACATTAAATTGATTGCTGCCAGACAGCTCAGGGCATCTTAATCTACATGTTATTGCCTCCTACTGGCCAAACACCTCAACAGCTGTAGGCTAATTCTCCCCAATCTGACAATGGACTCTGTATACAAACCCTGACCCTTTGAAGTGTATATCTCTGCCTCTCCTCAGGACAATTTGTGTTAATAAAAAGCATGGGGTCCTGAGATATACACTTCAAAGGGTCAAAGGGTCAGGGTTTCGTATGCAGGCAAAGGGAAAAGGGGAGGAGAAGGTACAAAACGTATCAAATTCTTGAAGGGCTTGATATGCGTTCCCCCGACTGTATAATGGATTTGTAGCAACTACCTTTGGCCTCAGGACCAAAGGAGGCGGCGCGCGCCAAGCTGGGGACTAGCAGGCGCTGGGGAGGGGTGCGGGTGGTTTCCATGGGATCCAGGTTTTTCCGCGACTCCTGGGCGTTAAGCCAGGCCCAGGGCGAGCCTTTCCCAAGTCAGCCACTCCCCACGCATGGCTGCCTCGACCTCGACCTCGGCCTCGGGTCCGCTTCTCTCGGCGCCACACACAAACTCGGACACGCACAGCCGCAGCCCCCAGCCGAGATCTAAGCTCCAAGCCCCCTTCCAGTCCACCTGCCCGGAGGCGCTGGAGCCCGCAACGCGGCTCGCGCCGCCGAGGCTTCTGGGAATTGTAGTTCGGACCCCCCCCCAGCCCACATGCACTTCCGGGTTCGGCCAGAAGCGCAGCCATTGTCTCCCCCCCACACACACCCCCCTCCCCAGGCTCGGACGCTCGCAGTTGCAGCGCACCTCGGCCCTTCCGAGGGTCTCCCCGAGCGGCCTTGCGAATACCGAGATGGGGCGGGGACAGAACTAGCGTCACCGGAGTCCGTCGTGTGCAGAATCGGGGTACGTGTTTGCTTCTCCGAGCTCGTCCCGGACACCTGAGGCTGGGACAGGCCTGTCCTGGGCGGCGAGCCCAGAGACGCCGAGGTTGGTGCCAGCTGGGGCAGCGCTGGGCGT